CTGTTGGCGGAATGTTCGTTGAACGCGCCTGCTCAATGAGCATGAGTATTCTCACAACATGTTCAATGAGCGGACGCCATTTTTCTAAGCGATTTTCAAGTACTCAGTACAACATGTACAACATGTTGTAAGCTTGACGGGACTTACACTTTATTATGAAAATGGAGAATTTTTATCACTTTGTATCTTGTAAGATTTACCTCTACAACTATTCTCGACATGTTAAAATGTTTTTTAAATATTATTGTATAATGGATCTTTCATAATAATTTTCATTTTTCCAACGTATACGACGTCTTGCATTAAAATTATTGGTAATTCAGCTTGTAATTCTTCGACAAAATGTCTTATTATATTTCTCTCCATAATATTATCATCTAACAAAGCCAGAAGTATGAAATTATTAACAGCCATTATTAAATTATAAAAGAGAACTGTGATTTCTGTGAATACGAATGGCACGACACAATAAAATGCGGTATATACCATTTTTAAATAAAGGTTGTGTTTTTGTGTACATACATATTGCGCATGTCAATAAATGTTTAGAAACGTTCAGGAAACTGTTTACTGATTTCACTTATGCTCAAAGAGCGCTCAGTGATCAGTTGTCCAACTGTTGTGTTCGCTGAACGCCAATATAACAAATGGTAAGGCGCTACTACGAGAGCCCTCTTAACGTCAATCGAGATTATTATACAAATATGTTGATTATTATACAAATATGATATACTATTATATTTTCAGAAATTATTTTTGCTTTTTTACGAAACCTATTTGTATATTACATACGTGTAATTAATACCGGAAGATATCACAAAGTATCAATATCAATTCAATAGCGAGATATTACAACATGTGTTAAGTATCGATATAAATAACAATATGTTGAAATACAATGATATTGAAATATTTCATTAATTGGATCATATCTAAGCATAGAAAATAAGTACATTGTCTATGCGTTATATTTAATCATAATTATATAACAAAATGTCAAAATTTGACATATCATACGAGAGAGGTCTATGATATGTCAAACTAGCTATTAGAAATTACTAGATCACTAGATCTAATTGTTTCTGATAGCTGAGCAGTGACCATTATTTCAAGAATTATTTTACACTTTTACGTGATTTATTAGACAGATATCTTACTTTCTGGTATTTTTTACAAGTTTTAGACCCGATTGCAAAGTATAAATAATATTTATAGTATTCTAACTTGCACTTCTTTTAAGCGGTAATTTCAGTATCGTTTAAAAAATATTAAAGAACAGAAATCTTACCATTGGTCGTCACAATTATTCGCGCAATTATTATTATTGTATAAATTATATATTGAAGGTTAATTAGAAAAATGGATTTACATTTCGATGTATTAGAAGACGATGATGAATTAGATGCATCGATTCGATCTAATTGTTTACGGGATACTACGAAATATACATGTGTGTGTTAATTATTTTGAAACATATAACGATTTAAATTTTTTTCGAAGATTTCGATTACAGAAACATTCTGTTATACATATACTAGACCAGATTGAAGATCATCTAAATTATACACATAACAGGTAAAAATATCATATTCTTATTAGTTTTTAACATTTATTATTTTAAAATATTTTTAAAATCTCATACACACTTTATTACAAAATTGTATTATAAATTACAATATATAATAGTAATGTATGTCAATTACAATAATTAATTGTGGCAAAAAACGAGTAATTTTATAATTTTTTAGAAATAATTTGGTAATTCATTTGTGATAGTCTCCCAAGTATTACTTTTGTCCTTTCACGATATTTTATCTGTTTTTTTGGATTTAATGATATTTTTATATTTGCTAATAACATTATGAGAACAGCTTTTTCCTCTGCTGTGTAATTTGTGCTACGTACTCTCTTTTTCTCTGATTCAATTTCCTCAGTCATTTATAATTAATAAAAGTAAAGAGATATGACACAATTAAAATTTATATGTATATTAAATTAATTACAATCAACTTACGTTTTTATTATTATTACAAATTAAACAATTCCTTTTTCTTTCTCCATCTTCCTTGATCGAAAATTTTCTATTTTCTTTATCGTTTTCTTAGACACACCAGTTTTTTTGCAATTTCTTAATATAATAATTTAATTATTAGCAATTAAAAATAAATATTTGGTTTTTTTTTGAGTCCTTGCGGTATCTATGACTATATTACAGATTATCTTAAATTATCCAATATTGAAAC